GCTCTGTTACCAAAACAATATCTTAGAATTTATGAGAACAGGTTGCTAATACATTTTGTTTTATGTATTAGCTTAAAGTTAATTTTTTTTTTTTTTTTTTTAACTTCTAATGAATGAAAAAGCACAATTTTTTTCTTACATGTAGCTATAGAGTTAATTGTGTAGATAAAAATGACTAGATTACTGTTGTAACTGTCCCTTGGTTACTGAATAGAATAATCAAACAAAGGTTGGTAATGAACGATAATACTTAGGACAAGAACAACATATATAAGATTCACCAGTGGCGTGTAGAAGTAGTAGTCAACAGCTAGAAGCAAGTCAACTGAATTCTACAATGAATCGCCAACTGCAGAACAACATACAGTATTTGCTATTATATTTATGGGAATGGATAGATATATTACAACAATTACTCATGCAGAAAATATAAAAATGCAATTGCAGAATTATTTAAATATGACCATTATTTTTTGATAGCACAGATAAATTTTTGCTAGCAATAAAATAAGGAGCTTACCATGAAGTCAAGGGTTACCAAACTGTTCTTACATATTTTTAAGACTACCTCATGACCGATTCTCACTTGATGCTCTATAATTAAGGTCTTGTGCCAAAACTAAACTTAGTTAATTAATCAATACTACAGAGTAATAATAAGCAAGGTGGTCTCACTTGACATTGTGTCAGAAGTGCTAAACTGTGTAAATATCTACCCCATGGTTAGCAAGTTGGATTTGCAGACCTTTGATAAATAGTGAGTTTGATCCTCAGAGGGATCCTTAATTATGACCTTGTACCAACTAATTGTAGACAACAAACCATATAAAGGAGTTACAGATTTTTTTTCAGAAACTCAAGCCTACTAATGTATTTCTTTTTAAATTCACTGTTCCAAATTGATTGTATTTAATGGCAGATAAACTACTCCCCCCACCCCCATCAAAATAGGAAATATTAAGACAAAAATTGTTGGGTGGTACCAGAACTTCTTCCTTGGTTCTTATTTGGCACAGTTCTGAAATGAGTTTCTTTTCAGGCATTAATTGCAAGTTTATGAAATTCAAATAAAAGTAAGTTATATGCCATTGTTTAAAATGATAAGGAGATGTCAACAGACTTGGATAGATGGACAGATAGATACATACATACATACATACATATAATACTATAGACCAAGACGGACACCTGGATAGCAGAGGATAAATTGAAAAGAGGTTGACATAAAAAATATCTTACAAGAAACTATAATAATTGTATAATCGTACATACATACAGTCATATATACACATAAAATATCAAGAAAAAATGTTTTTGATACATTTTTGCTTGAATTTTATCTCTGTCTCCAATTTGTCCAGATTCAAAACAAGATTCTTTTCATGCAGTCGTTCCAAATACACAAAATTCTAATAATAATTGGGGAGAAGAGTGGGTGTTATATGCTATCAAGTATGGTAATGGCTTAAATTAACAAGGGGACGGAAACAGGCTAGAATAGACAGATGCAAACATCCACACATACAAATTCTTCAATGTGTTGTATATATATATATATATATATATATATATATATATATATATATATATATATATATATATATATATACACACCTGAATGGCAATGAATTGACAAATTTAAATTAGATATGAATTCTTTATATGGTAATGTAAGAAAAACTATAATAATTGAATGAATGTGACTACAGATATATATATATATATATATATATATATATATACTGTGTATTTAGGCAGCAAATGTTCTTTAAGGCAAATATTATTAAAGACAGACATTTTTGCCTATGTCCCTAATTCTACTGAAGTCAACATTTGCCTACCTATACTGATCATGACTCAAGTCAAAAGCTTGGACCATATTTTTTCCGAAATGAATTTCAGACTATTTCTAATGGAATTTTCACCTTGTCCGAGAAGGATTATTTGTAATTTGGAAAACTTGATCAATTAATCGGCACAAAGTGTCTTTTTGTTAATAATATCTGTGCTATATATATATATATATATATATATATATATATATATATATATAGAGAGAGAGAGAGAGAGAGAGAGAGAAATCCAGCATCATCACCTGATAAGACACCGGAGGTGTTGAAACAAAATGGCTATATTTGTAGTGATTTTATAACATATTTATGTTATAATTTTTTAAAATAAATAATTATATATATATATATATATATATATATATATATGCATGAGTCATTGGTTTATGTTGTATTTTAAATGAAAATATTAGTGGTGTGGGAAAAAAAAAGGTGTGTAGAATGTTACTAAAACTCCATCTATACTCACAATAAGGCCCAATTCAAAACATGTTTCTATTTTATGGAATTGTAATACACTGATAAAAATAAAACTAGCACCCTAAAATACATACATGCTGGGAGTAGTATATTTGGCCATTTAATGACATATATTGACACATTAGAAGATGATGATGCATGCATGCATGCATTGCTAAAGGTAAGTGTGGTGAAAGAGCAAAGATCAAGGAGATGCATACCTGCTTCTTTTGCTTAATTAGAGTTGATCGAGAGGGGATAGATTGTGTGTCCTTGAAAGGTGGGATAATCATTTCATCTGCTGTATATTCGTTAGTATAATGCTAGTTTTTATGATCTAGTTTTTTTTAAAAAAAAGGGGGGGCACCTTATACACAGGTAAATTTTTTGAAGAAGTTAAAAATCATGCATTTTTAATGATTGGTTGCACTATACATGGGTAATTTTTTTTTCTGGAGGGATAAAAATTAATACAAAAAATTCAGTGGTAATTGCTGTACATGTTGGAATTGTAGCATCAGTTGTTCTTCGATATTAGCAATAAGTTGACTCTTGACTCCGATATAGTAAAGATACTAATCAAGATCAACTTATTCTCAGGGCATCAGTGGCAGTTCTGCCTAGGACCTAGGGATGGACATTTTCCAGAGTGTAGATGCCCAAGACACAGGCCCAACACCCAGTTTCCTAGTATTGGGTGCTTTAATTTAGAGCTCTTAATCATGGTCTTTGTGGAGGGAATGATGAACAGTGTTATTTATTATATCTAGAACATGGCTTCCCAACCTGGGTGATATCGCCAACCCATGGGGTATTTCAACAGTTGGGTGGTGATATAAGATTTGGAATACTAAAAGAGTATTTCAACATATGCTACTTGAAAATTAATATTCAAAGGAGATATGCAAAGAACCTGTATTAAAAAAAATAAAAATAATGGGAGGCTAAATGGGAATAACTGAGTTTAAATCCTAGATAAGATATAAATATCCCAAAAAAATATCTAGGTATTTTCTATAGTTTTAAGAAGGGTCATTAATATTCAAATAATTTTTCAGGTGCAATATTTTTTTTGGATATAAATCAGATAAGAGAAGAGAACGAATACATTTGCTGAATTTTTATTATTTGCTAGTAGTGTATACTTTTTTTTAATTTTATAATTATGAACAAAAATTGGGTGGCACTATAGCATATCTATCGAGGCATTTGCGACATACTGTAAATGATGATACACTCATTATTGCAGGAAAAATGACCACCTGTTTACTTTTTTTTTTTTTTTTTAAACAAATCAGTTTACAAACATTAAAATCACTATTTGATGATTTTTCATTTTTTTGTATAAAATATTGTCAATGAATTTTAATATATAATCAGTTCATTGTTCATTGCCTTTAACCCTAAGGATATCTTTAAATCTTTCTCATTTAACAATTCCATGTCATTGGGTAAACAATTATATCTTGCTGAAGTGGTTTTAGTCCAAGAAAATTCCATCAATATTAGATATTGTAGTTACAACTTTTATCATTTACTTCAAGCTTGTACATGAAAACTCTTCAAATATCTAAGTAGATAAAAACTGACCTTTTTAAATGTGATTTTAAATTATAGGCAGTTACATGTCTTGTTCCTGGATATTCAGCCCAGTGCAGGATTTTACAAACATACTGTTTTCTGTCTCAAAACAAGCTATAATTTTTCATTTTTTTTTTTTTTTTTTTTTCAATAGGAATTACATGCAATTTGTCTGAAGAAATTTCTTGGATAAATTCAGAGCATAAACTACTTTGAATATGTCCAAGATATTTCCTATTGCTCACCTGGCTTAGTTACAAACAAAGTTTTTAAACTGTATACATATATCACTTTAAATGTTATTTTTAGTGAATGCTGGTATTTGAGTAGACATTGTTAATTTTAAACAGTATTTTGAGTACCAGCCTGAAAACTAGAAGACTTATTAAAGAAAATGATACTGTTTAAAATAAACAGAGTTCCTAATCAAATATGGGTATCCACAAAAAATAATATTTGAAGTAATAAAAATATTGGATTAAAAAATCAAATCCATTAATTCTTTCAGAAATTGTTTTATTTAGGTTTCAGATATGAAACTGAGTTGTTATATATTGAGAAAATCTGTACAAATGAATAAGCTTTAAAGGAAAACAGAACCAGGTTCGATTGTGATGCTCTTCATAGCTGAGCAGTTAAAGCATGTTGGATCAAACTGTGGTTTATGCTGTGAGGGGGGTGGGGGCCACAGGTTTGATTCCTGCAGGAGGGCACATTTTCTTTAAGTTATAAGCTAATTATTGATACCATTTTTTGAGGAAATTGAAACAATAAAAAAAGCAAAATAAAAAAAAAAAAAAATTTTAAGCAAACCCAAAAAAAAAATTTATATATATATATATATATATATATATATATATATATATATATATATATATATATATATAAGAAGAACTTAACTATAGACTTAAAAAAGAGAAAAGTTAAAACTTAAACTTTCAAGCACCAAATAAATTAATAAACTGATAGTCAATTAAGAAAAGATTAATAACTTCATTATAAGTTAAAACTTAGTCGCTATGGCAGGGAAGTCCTATCCCCCCTTAAGAGACCACAACAATAGCAAAGTTATATATAATGTCAAAATCTATAAATTAAATAAAGCCATACAAAGTTGGTAGAAAATTGATAACAGCAGAAAGATAGAGAGGGAGAGTGATAGAGAGGGAGAGGATAGAGGGGAGAGGAGAGGAGAGGAGAGGATAGGGAGAGGATAGAGAGGAGAGGATAGAGAGGGAGAGGATAGAGAGGGAGGATAGAGAGGGAGAGGATAGAGAGGGAGAGGAGAGAGGAGAGGAGAGGGGAGATAGAGAGGGAGAGTGATAGAGAGGGAGAGTGATAGAGAAAGCATGGGGGAAAGAGAGAGAGAAAGCATGGGGGAAAGAGAGAGAGAAAGCATGGGGGAAAAGAGAGAGAAAGCATGGGGGAAAGAGAGAGAAAGCATGGGGGAAAGAGAGAGAGAAAGCATGGGGGGGAAAGAGAGAGAGAAAGCATGGGGGGAAAGAGAGAGAGAAAGCATGGGGGGGAAAGAGAAGTGCTTGAGTATTATTGCTGTGATATCAGATTACTTGCATCATTAGAGGAAGACTCTAAATATGAGAAGGAAGGAGAGAATGCAATGCCACACTCACAAGAGTGACAGCAGGCAAATTAAAGAGAAGCACTTAAGAAAAAAAAATAAAATAAATTTTTACACAGAATATGAACAAACAAGTTTGTCTAATCTGTTTCTTTTTCTCAGTCTACTCATGCTTGTAAAGGGATCCATTTATTTTTAAATGTAGCAGGAGCAACTTGCAGATTTCATCAGTGAATTCTTTGAATTATAGACAAAAAAAGAAAAATTAAAAGATTAAATAAAAATTCAAAATAAAAAGTCAACTAATGCATTTCCACTTGGTCTGGGAATGCACATAGCACAGATTTTAAAAGTGATATTTTTTTTATTTTTTTTTTTTTTTTTAAAAAAAACAAAAACAAAAAAGGGACGTTGCTACTTAATATATAATTGAAAAAAAAAAACTCTTCACAATTTCTCCATGTTAAAATTTAATAGAATCTCTTCAAATTCATTCTGTATAAATTTCTAGGTGATAGAAAACTTCAATTTTAAATATAGTACATTACAATGGAGAAGGCAACAGGAAAGTACTCCACTATCTTTCCCAGGAATACTTGGCAAGTCAAAGATAAAAAAAGGAATCTGTTGAGAGACACAACTGCCTATATCCTGAAGACACATGGCAATAAAAAATGGCTATGTTACAATAATACACACTTAATAATTCATTAGGGCTTATTTCAAATGGTCATTTTAATTTCTACTAACCTAATATGGTCATACTAATGTTTTTCTTGTTTATTCCCAAGTCCCTTTCCTCATTTTTTTGTCAGAACCACATTTCTTATCCATCTAAGAATGAAATAAAGAAAAATAAGATTTGAAGCCATGTAAGTTACAAAGGAACTTATATCAAGTTGTTTATTAGGCAAAAGAAGACATTGTAAGGATGCACAAAAATGCTAAAATACTCCAGTGAAAAGAAAAAAAGAAAGAAAAAAAGCCTACTTTAATCAAAAGTACTTGTACAAACTGACTATTCAGTGAACCAAACATAGAACTATTATATATATATATATATATATATATATATATATATATATATATATATATATTCTGTACACATTTTCTGTAATTCTCCATTTAAAACTTCTACCATCTCAATATAAATGCAAAGTTGTTTGAAATCAACCCAAGACTGAAAATCAATTTCTTAGTCTTAAAAATTTAAGTTAATCCATGTATATTTCATTTCTTTAAAATTCTGAAATACTGTTTGGAAATTTGTTGGAAACAAACTGAATATTTATTGTCAAGAATTAAAATGATTAATGTGTCTATGTGTGTGCATAGAGGGGGAATCAATTGTGTCAAACAGAAACTATCAATTTACTTATCAGTAGCTTTACCTTTTGATTACTAAATACCTTCAGTAGATGAAATTAAAAATTATAATCTTTAAAAATTCATATCAAATATTCAAAAAGCTTTCCTTCTTTTTAGCAGTGAAGTATAAATTCTTAAAGCACATTTTTTAAAGCGAATTATAAATTTTCATTCTATGATATGAAGCTTGCTTCAGAGTTACGATTTTCTCCCAAAATTTGAGAAAAATAAGTAAAATTCTAAAACATTATTGAGCAGTTATCTTAGTTAAAAGAGAGAGAGAAAAAAACGAAAACCAAAAAAGAAAAAAAAAAAAAAACGAAAACAAAAAGAGGAAAAAAAAAAAAAACGAAAACAAAAAAAAGGAAAAAAAAAAAAAAAACGAAAACTAAAAAAAAAGGAGGAAAAAAAAACGAAAACAAAGGAGGAAAAAAAAAAAAACGAAAACAAAAAAGAGAAAGAAAGAAAAAAAGGAGGAGTAAAAAAGTTATGAGGAAGAGGAAGAATAAAAATAGAGAAAGAGAAAAAAGCAAAACAAATATTTATAATTCCTTGAGAAAGAATGTGTCATAGGTTACATGTAACCTTTTACCCCAAACCTCTCACAACAAAACTTAGATCCTCTCATGCATGCCATATTTTTGTATAAGCATAAATTATTAATTATGAGGATCATCTTTCAGTCAGCAATCATCAGAACCAATGGAGAGTGTCCACTCAGACATTGTCTAGCAGTACAAAAGACAAACAATAGCCATTTACAGCAAAACACTTTAAACAACTGGACATTAAATAATAATGATTAAAAAACAGGTACACAGTATTAATAACAACAGGCTTGTCATGTTTCTTTATGTTCAATTCAAAGGAAGTCAATTTGAAAATTATAAAAATTCATTACTGATTAATTATTATCACTAGAATTTATAGATAACCATCATGTCAGGTGGTTAGGTGGATGGAAGGGGTGACATGGATGTGTAGATAACTCTTTTGTTAAGCACTTTTCAGACACACACACAATTTAGTGTTTACAAGTGTACACGTTACATATGAGTTTACACATAGTAAAAATGTATTTTGTTATTTTCATAAGTATACATAGTAACCCGAACTATCTTTTAGAACTGTGGGATTTTCAAACACTCCATTTAAAATATTATAGATATATCATTTAGATTTTAATTTTCTTGTCATAATTGTCAGTCTTCTTTCAAGATTTTATTTGATAAATAAAAAAAAAATTGGGGAGGTGGGTATTTTGAAAAATTGAATTAAAAGGCCAGTATTAAAAAAAAAAAAAGATTTTGTAATTTTCAAAACCTCAAATCTGTAAAAATAGGTTTCATTTCATTTTTAATAAACAAATCAAAATGTTTTGTAATTCACTCAAATATTATGAGAAAAAAGCAGAAGCTACTTGACAGCTGTATTCAGAATGCAATTTGACTAACCATGAAAATTTGTTAACAGGGAAAACTTTAAACTGATGCTGGAAGGATAAGAGTTAAAAAATAAATAAACCCTTTATTAGTACTGAGAGGCAATATCACAGCATTAGTACTGTAGAGGTTGCCAAACAAACCATTTAAAATATTATAGATATATCATTTAGTTCTTAATTTTCTTGTTATATATTGTCTTAAATGTTCTGATTTTTACAGGATATATAAGAAAAAAAAAAAAAAGGTTTTATTTTGAAAAATCAAGTTAAAAAGCCAATATTAAAAAATGAAGTAAGTTTCGGAAATTAAAATATGCAACAAATCATTTTATATTCAGTATATTTTTTTGGCATTCCAAGCAATGAATAAAAAGGTTAGTCTGGTCTTTGCATACATTTCTACTACAATTACTAAAGACAGTTTATATAGTCCTATGATTGTAATTCACGCAAATACTGCGACTAAAACCAGAAACTCCTTGTAGTTACTTGACAGAGGTATTTGAAAAGCTACTTCACTAATCAGGCAAATTTCCCTTGCTAAAGATTAAAGGGAAAAACATTTTGTAGTCTATTCAAACACCCCAATGGTATTTAAAAAAAAAAAAATGAATTAAAAGAGCAGTATTAAAAAATGAATTTGTGAGTTTCAAATATTTACATGTGAAAGAAATATGCTTCATTTTATATTCAGTATAATCTTTTAAAACAAGTTATGATCCATCCGACTCCTCTTCAACTGTTTTTCCACATTCCAAGCAACAAGTAAGACCATTACTCTGATCTTTACACATGTTTCTACCAAAATTACTAAAAAGTCTTTATGGTCTCATACTTGAAATTCACACAAATACTACAAGTAGAATCAGAAACTCCCTGTAGTTACTTGACAATAGTATTTTGAAAACTACTTGACTAATCAGGAAAATTTGACTTGCCACTTGCTAAAGAGATATGAAAGAGGCATTTATATTAAAGAAAAGCATGTTTTAAGGTGTTTAAATACCACATGGTACTAGTAATGAGTTATAAAAAAAAAATAAATAAAATAATTTACAGGATTATTTGCATATGGACTGGTATTTCAGCCTTAGATCAGTCTAGTACCTGTGCACTATCTAGAAACACTGTAGCATCTGTACATTGCACCCAGCTTTGTATTTCCAAGTTAATTTTACCCTGCTGCTCAAACAGAATAATGCTGGTGTCGCAGGTACATCACTTGCCTGGCTACCCACAGGTATGATATCCAAGTCCTGGCAGGATTGACTTATTTTATCATGGTAAAAAGTTAGACAGAAAATACAGATAGGATTCTTATATAGACAGGTCACAAGGCCCAGATCAAAAGCTTTGGGTATACAAGAGAAAAGATACATAGGCACACCATCTTTATAATCAGATGCAATGTTCTTGTCATATAGTTGAAGAGGTAAAGAAAATCTTACAGTCTGTGTGTCCAGATTGACAATAAAAATACACATGTAATGAACTGCTTAGAAACACACTTATAACCTGTGCCAGTATTTACAGCTTTCACGCACAAGTTTTTTTGTGCCTATATCTCTGTGCATGTCCTGGTTATCCCCTTACATCATCACCAAAGATCGGAAATTGTTTTTAGAATTGTAGCCTTTCACAGCTGACCATTAAAGCATGGCAGGCCCAATTTTTGGACAGGGCCATAAAAAGAGAGACACTGAGGGGAAAAATAGCTACTAAAATGAAATAAAAAAATAAAATAAAAAAAAAAAAAGGCAGAGATCTCATTTCATGTAAATAACAGTGAATGGTTGAGTTCTCTCAGCTAAAATCGAAATAAAAAACTGGTCATAAAATAAAGAGTAATTTTTTTTTTTTTGCCCATAAATTGCAGGCATTGGGAAAGAAAAAAAAATAGTGTTTGTGTGGCACTGTGTAAATATCACTTATTATAGGCAGGGTTATGGGAACGTGTATGTACATAGGGGTGAAAGGTGTTTTTTGGAGGGGACATGCATGTATCAATTTTATTTATATGTAAGTACAAAAATGTCAAGAATAATAAAAAAAAACCAAAACCAAAAGAACACACACATTGGAAAGATTGATTAAACATCATATATATATATATATATATGGTCATATGAATCAATTCCAGATTAAAATTATTTGGTCCCAAAATGAACCAATTATATTTTTAACTTGTACTACAAAATTCACTTTTCTAAACCACACTTACTTTGATTAGAATGAACCAAGGCATTATTTGAGGTTGTTGCAACAATATATTAATGTCAAAGTACTTTTCGTCAAATTTATCCATTTCTTTAGTTGTAACTTATAATAGAAAATAGCGCGGCCTTGAAAATAAAGGCAACAAACACAAGAGTAAAGGATTTTTCAAGAAACCACTTTTGAGATAAGACCAAAGAAAAGCCAGCATGCAAAATTAAGAAATGGTGCTTCACTGTTGACTTGCCCAGTCAAAACAAAATGTATTTTCCTTGTTATAAAGCAAGATCATGTTGCTTGGTAAATCTTTGACCAAGCAACGAAATGTCATGTTTGATATAACAGACAGACTAATTTACTTGGACACTCATCTATATACTTTGTAGTGCATTAAAACTTGCTTTGGTGCAATTAGAAGCAATTAACAGCTTTGAAATGAAAAGCAATTAGACTTGAATATTCTTTGCCTAATATACAGACAGTGTTGAGCAAGAAAAGTTTTAGCTTCTTAACAATTAGGCATTAATATTCTAATAAGTAACACCAAAATCAAAGGGTCTTTACTTCTGCAATGGGGAAAGTATATATTTTTTTAAATTAAATGCAAAACTAATTTTTTTAATTTAAATTTTATATATTTTTGTTATTAATTTATTTACTACTCCATCTTATTAATGTTGCTTTTTACATTTTCATTATTGTTTTATGCCACTTTATTATTAAACATTATTGGATTAAACATTTTTTACTATAATTATTTCATCACTAGTTTTACACATTGTGGCTGTTAAGTATTTTATTGCTTTTAGCCAACTTAATATATACAAATTCCCAAAGAAAATTGAAAATTTTGTGGTATATAATACTTATATATAAGTATTATATACTACAAAATTTCCATTTTTCTTTTTGGAAATTCATATATACATTAAGTTAGTTAAAATGTGTGTGCATGAATAAAGACAAAAGGAAAACTTATCTTAGTTGACATGTCTCATCCTCTGATGAACATTATCAAAGCAAATGTCTTTATATATATATATATATTATATATATACACACCCTATTCCTTATGTGGCATTGAGGCTTCATGTAGTCGCCCCCCCCCAATGCTCATTAACATGTATTCTAATTTTTTACCTCACATTGTTACTTTTACTCAGCCAGACTTCATTATCAGTATTGTAAAAGGAATTATAACAAAATACTGGCACCATTCCACCTTATTAATGTAATCACATAGTAGTTTTTTTTACTATTGTAATTTCTTCCTTTTCAGTTTTACTGCTAGCTTGCTTTTTATATACAGTAATGTTTTCTGCTATAGCTAAAGTGTGTTTTTATAATGTATTGCAAGCTTACTTTAAACACTACCTGCTTAAATTAACTAAAGCCCCCCCCCCGAATATGCCTAGAAAGTTGGGTTGGGGGAATGTATCTGTGTGCGTTTTATGCTGTCAAATACTATACTAGTTTATTTTTTTTCATTATTATTGTTACTTTTTAGATGAAGCTTTTTTTCATTCATTTTATTTTTACTCCAGCAATAAACAAGATTAATTCAAATAACAAATCTAAAAACATTTAATTTCCAAATGAGAAGCATTACAATGTCGTTTGCTACTAATATCTTCAAGAATAACGAATTTTTTTTTGTTATCATTTCACCCCAAGCAAGGCAATAAAGCCACTAAGATGCCACAGGGTACCGTGTGTCAAAGACATTAAGAAAGGGAAATACAAGAACGGGCAGACAGAGAATGGCGATAATACGTTGCATTTAGAATTTTGAAGATCATAGTTTACAGTACACTGAAAGCAAGAAGTCGGAAGAGAATTCCACAAATGAAAAGTGTGTGGTTACATCTTTAGCTATTTCAACAGTAAAATGAGATCTTGCTGCCAAAGATTTGTTGAGATTGAATGAAGAAAAAAAAAAAATCAAACATTAGTTCTTCTAAAATATATTTATTTTTAAATACAAAAAGTCAATGTCTTAAAGAACATGCCGTTTGGCCACAGAACAAAAAGGGTTGTGTAAAAAAGTAAAGAAATAAACATTTGAAAAAGAACAAATTCAGAACAATGAACAATTTAGATGAAATAAACGAAAAGCGAAAATATTCATCAAATAGGAAATTATTTCCAACTTGAAATGTCAATGGACACTTTTCATATTTTTATACTCAAGTTTTCTACTTGGCAAGCCCTAAATGCTTCATTAACAAGCAAACGGCATTTGGGTCACATGTTTTGCATAAAAATCACAAGTTCTACTATCATGCCATACCATTCAAATGAAAACAACACAGAGTGAAAATAAAAATAAGAGTGTAACATACTTGATAGAGTAAGAGCTGTGTTTATCAAAGGGGAGGAGGAGACACTTGCCTTTCAGAAATTTCAGTGAGGGAAGCAATTTCAGTTATATTCCTAAGTCATCAATGACAAAAAATTATTAGATGACAATTCAAAATGTCGGGAAGGAATGGAGAAAAAAACTGGATAACAATGCAATTTAGAAAGCCGAGTGTTTTATATTGGTAAAATAATGCACAACAAAAATGATTTTAAAAAAATAACAACAGTCTCGGCCATCCAGACAGTCCTAAGAAATCGAAAGATAATGAGTGAACGTAATATGAAAGAATAAAAAGAAAACGGCATTAAGGAAAGAAATTACGAAAACGGCATTAAGGAAAGAAATTACGAAAACGGCATTAAGGAAAGAAATTACGAAAACGGCATTAAGGAAAGAAATTACGAAAACGGCATTAAGGAAAGGAAAGAAAAAGGGGAGATAATGAAAGATTGACATCGAAGATGCTTCAAATACATTGCAGTTTTATTTTTATCAGTCTTGACTTGGCAATATTATATCAGAAAACGAACTACGTTTTATCGCCTGAATATCTATATTAGGAAAAGCCAAGTTCAAACAAATTTAGCAAACCCTATACAATAATTTAACACACTGCAGAATAAATTAGATTTACAAGTCAACAACATTTTATTAGCCAGTTTGGTAAGGGTGGGTACAAGAAATCTTGTGGCTGAAGTTTCAACAAATTATCACTGAGTGCCCAGGTTAAGTCTGTGTGTTAATCTAGTCACAAACACTTGTCCACATCCTCTCCGGTAGGGGATGGGGTGGATACAACAACAAAAACAAGGACACTTGTCTTGGCCAGCTTCCAAATAATTAGACTCTCACCCTGACATTTGTCTATGGCAACAAGGCTTGAAAATTGACATCAAGTGTTCAAACAAAAACAAACACCGTGCTTCAGTTTTTGCTTCAATTACGTACAAACTCTATAAGACATCTTGTGATTGTTCTTTTTCTTGCTTTTTTGTTTTATTTATTTTTTTCTTCTCTAAATGAAAAATTTCCCCTCAGCCTTTACCAACAATCGAATCAATCAATTTGTAAAATATCGCATCATGATCATATGTAGAAAGAATATTAAAGAACATTTGTTTAAAAGTTTAATTCTGATTCTTAGGATTTTTTTAACACTTGCTGAATAAGAATTATGCCATATATAATTCTGTTTTTGAATTATAATTATTATATTCTTATCAGATAAGACTTAACTTAACACCAATGGTGTTATTATTCATAAAAAAATAATTTGTTATACTTTTATCAGTAATATTATAAAATAATAAAGTCTTTTAGTTTTGTTTTTGTATCTTTAATTTATACGGGGCCGGCACGTACTACCCTCGAACAGGGGAGGGGGAAATTGATTGGGGGTGGACATATCGTGCTATGTGACCCTCACTATCTTATCAGCATTTGCTTTTTCCTACCTGCATTTATATGCGTTACAAATTAAAGCACAACTGACTATATAAAAGGAAAATTTTTCTGAGTAACGTCATTCTGCAGTTTTTTTCCCTTCCCGTCCAAATCCGTGAATTTATAAAATTCACTATTTTTATCCATAATGGTGAACGTGTTAAGATTATTCAACTTTTTAACAAGATAAAATTTCAAGTTGATAAACATTGCCGCAAAACATTGATTTATTTAAGATGGAATGATGACGATCTAATTTTCTCTAGTTGTATTGTTCACCTATATTGCATATGATCCATTCATAATTAGTTTGCAATATAAAATTTGTATTTTATATGAATAATACCTTATGAAATTTGAGAGTAGGGTGCCACGTATCAGAGATTCGGTGGGTAAAAGTGTCACTTTTAGCTGATTTATGTTATACCTTTTAGCATCCCGACCCGTAGTTATTCATCACAGTTTAAGAATGAATTTAACCATAGAAAAATATTTACGAACACAAAGAGGTAAAATTAACTGACATTTATTTTTAGAAATTCATCTCAGATAAAAAGGAGATATTAATTTAAAGAACTGAACAAGTTCAGCACTTAGCACAACATATTTGGGAAGACATTTTCAAAGATGAAGACGGTTTAAAAAAAACTGATCAACATTTGCAGTGAAGTTCTGAACTTCAGTTCCACCTAGAGATTTTTTATCAGAACACAATTCGTATCATTCCTTTTTATTCTTCATCTTCAAGACTACGGTTACGTTAAAAGAATCATTTATTTGAGTTCATATTTAGTTTATTCATAAATGGAAAATATTAAAAATATGTTCTCCACACACACACACACAAAAAACGTTATATTAATTTGTTGTAAGTACATGTTTGAGTAGGCATCCTTGATTTTTAAACAGTCAAATTAAATTGCTCTCTTTCTCGCAAGATATGCGTCTTGTCCTCTAAGCAGTACAAAACATACTGCCAATCTGGTCCATTTTCCAAAAGGGTTTTCTATATTGCAAAATACTGAAACGTTTTCGATAGCGAAATTAAATCAAATTCTGGATGTTTATTATAAGAAAAAGAAAAGCGCGACGAAAAAATATTCGTAATATTCTAAATTTAAAATAAAAAGGAATCCTTATAGAAATTGAAAGATTACTTAATACCTGGCCAACAGAATTTTTAAATGAAATTCAATAATAAAAAAAAATTAAAAAGGAGAAAAGAAAACTAATCAAAAGCGTTCTTTTTAAGCTGGGATGAAATGAAATTTGAAAAGAAAAAATGAAATGATAATGTTTAAAAAATAAAGAACAGTGAAAGAAATGCACTATATACAGGGGATGCTGAAAAGTTCTCGGTTCCTGATTCACTTTCCAAACTGACTAAACATCAGAATTTGGGGCGGCAGAGTGCTTCTTGGTTAGCTAACTTTTCAACACTCCCTCATAGTATGCGCCAACTAACTGAAAACGAACAAATAAATCATGAAATATCAAACCAAGTAGATTTCAATATGGAATTTTTTTTTTTAAATGAAGTGATGCTTAAAAAAAAAAAAAAAAAATTCTACCTAAAAAGTAAAAGACCTTTTCCTACAATTTTTTTTCTTATTTGTTGACCAAGTTCATTTTAACTCCATAATGCTGTTTTAACTTTTCTTGCCCTAACTGAGAGTCATTTACTGACTCTGAAAAGAAAACTGACAATTATAACAACTTTAAAAGATTTATTAGAAAGAACCAATATGGTTGAGATGTCAAAGAAAGATGTTATCAGAATAATAAGAAGAAATAAATGCTAGACCCCAAAGACTAGGTTAAGTCCGCAGTCACAATAGGAAAAACAAACAACAACAACAAAACAAATAAGCAATTATTTACAATAATTATCCTTTTTGGGGTGCTAAAGATAGCATAACAATAACATTTGAACCACCGACAAACCCTTTATAAATTTCATTTCACAATATATAGATTTTTGCCAAAATTTGCTAAAACCAGGTTTATGCAATAAAAATAAAAAATAAATTTCAAAATTCAATATGCTTACACTCTTCTCACCAGTATTAATGGAAATTACACGTGGTCTTAGGAATTGGCTCGTGATTATGATTCCAATGTAATAAATTATAACCATGGAATATTAGTGTTTGCGAGCCTTTTTTTTTTTTCTTTTTTTTAACTCTGTCCTGGACATTGAGTTTTTCCTGGATTCTATCCTCTTGTGAATTTATATAATGACCAAAGCGGACGAGGGGAGGAGCAATATAGTCAGTGGACAGCAATAAAAGTTCAAATGTGGTCGCCATAAAAATACTGATTTTTTTTTTTTTCATTCCACCTTAATGACAGGGCCTATCATTGTGTCATCATTAATCAGTCACTCAATGTTCTAACTAACATATTTAAAAGTAAAACCTACTCGCAAGACAGTATTATTAATTATTACAAGTGTTTATGTATAATAATTATACGTTACAAATTAGTAATAATTTTTTCCGGACCCCACACACTTTAAAAAAATAGGATGAAAAATTTTGCATTTTAAAACTAAAACAAGAACTTCGCCTTCTTATTTCTTAAACAAGTTATATACAGAGTTTAAGTCAAAAATCAACAGCATGACCGGTGCGTACTACGTCCAACCCCCCGACCCCACTGAGGCAGTCTAGTTGGGGACCCCGGGCAGTGCTTTGTGACCCTCGCTAACTTATTTGCTTTTTTTTTTCTACCTACATTTATATATGTTACAAAAAAAAAAAAAAAAAAAAAAAAAAAATTACAGGATGAAACATTTTCGTCGATTTTGACATCCTTATGGGGTCTTCACCCCCCCTTAAAAAAATCCGCGAATTTCTTTTGCTAAAGTCTTGAGAAAAAAGAAAAGAAAAAAAAAAATTATTTATTTATTCATAGTGTTGAGTGTGTTAAAATATTTCAACAAGAAAAAAAATCTCAAGTTGATGTTAAAAATTACCGCAAAACATTGATTTATTTAAGATGGAATGATTTTGTATTTAGAATAGATACATTGTATTTATTTTCTATTTTTCTAGTTGAATTGTTAACCACTATTGCATATGATCCATTATTGTACATAATTAGGTTAGAATAAAATTTGTATTTTATGAATACTAGAGTGGGGAGAGAAGAAGCTTCCACCAGTCCTGATCAACTGCATGTAATTTTTAATTTGACATTCTATCAAAAGTAAATCTCTACCAGATAGGTGATAAGTTCTCAGACCAAGCTACTAACCAGAAATCTGTTTCCATGACCAAGCAATAAGCATCAAACAAAGCAAAGTGCGTTGGCCTAATAATTTTTTTAGCACCCCTCTTTGAAAGCACTTTTAAAGTTATGAATTTTCTTTAAACTTTAAGGAAAATTCATTACTTTAATGCTTAAAATAAAGGTTTTAAAATTGACAAGTTAGTCGTGTATATCCCATTTAGTACTTATGTTAAAAACCCAGGTGGAAAAGAATGATATAGAATGCAGATTTTCAAGGTAGGCATGTTTTATCCAATTGGAAGATTAAAGTAAAAAACACGACCATACGCCAATTTGCCCATAATGGGCATTACTGGACGAAAATAAGCTTAATGAAGTTACAAGTTAAAAACAAATCGATTATTTATAAATTTCATTTAAACAAATTTAAGGGATACGAAGTCAAAAAAAAAGAAAGAAAAAAAAAAAAAAAAAGATTCATAAAATAAAAATGTCTACCTAGCTGACCAAATGATACTGATTTTAGGTATCTACACTAATTTTGAATACCTAAGGTTTACAATTTTAAAAAAATGAAAAAGCATACTTGAAGCTTTCTTTTTAGCTTTAATTGAAAGCTAAATGATTAAATTAAAAAAAAAAAAAAAAACCCTGGTGTATTTCAAATAGAAATTATATTGATTGGAATCTGTTTTTTGGTCGCTTTCAGTAGTCATTACAATCGGCCACTTTTGATACATTTGTAAACAAAAGTTAATTCTCGGTTTTAAAAATCTTCC